TATTGAAAAACGGCAGGGGGTGAGTAAAAACTTCATAAAGCAAAAATGTTGTACGAGTTGTAGAAAATTTTTTCACGTTGGTTAAAATTTTCCATTTTCATTATTAAATTTCAAGTGGCCCTTATGACCACAGACGGCCCTTAATCAAAAAAGTCTTTAGATAAACATTGTAGATCAAATAATGTTGCACATCTTTTATTTGAAACATTTTTTTGTAAAATCAATAGGTTACCAAGTAATCGCCAATGGCACACTTTCAACCCCTATAGCGCAAAACGCCAGAGGGGTGAATGTTTGATATTTTTCGTTTTATGATCACTCACCCTCCCCCTATCATCCCTGAAAAGTTCTTTTGGGTAGGATTTTTTTTTTTGAAAATCGACAATTTTCCTAGACTACCATATGTATGTATTTTTGTTGATTTTTCTGACAACTCACATGTACCTTTTTTGCAAGAATTTTATGTTTACAAAAAAATATGGGAACTCAGCAATTTTTAATTAAATTAACACAATATTTACCTTAAGGAATATTTTTTTCTTAAGGTTATTGTGATAATAATTACAAATTGTTGAATTTCTATATTTTTTGGTAAACCAAAAATGATTGCTGTTTTAACTAGTTTTCCTGCTATTATAACAAATACTCTCCCAGACAGCACACGTTGTCCAATGGATGTCCAATATTGGTCCAAATTTGATCCAATTGTCTATGGATCATTTATGGACATCCCATGGATGCCAATTTTGCTTAAGCCAACGTACTAAAAAATAAATTTTTCCGATGGACCTCCATTAGCTGTCCAAAAGAAATTTTGAAGATCATTATATGTCCAATGTTTCTCATTTTTTATGAAGCCATTGGACTGGAAATTTGATATATCCATGGGATGTCCATGCTTTGCAGAAAAATGTGTCTCTTTATTTTTAATACAAATGGACATCCAGTGGAACTGATAAATTTGCATGCCTTTGGCTTCACAAAAAAGATAATCATTTGGATATTAGTTTTGTTTGAAGCAACGGACTGGAAAATAAATTTGTCCAATGGATTTCCATTAGTTGTCCAAAAGAAATTTTTGTTTTTAGTTTCTCTTTCTTGTTAAGCCGTTAGACCGAAAATTTACCAGATCCATAGAATGTCTATTTTTTTTTGCCGAAAAAAGTTCCTTTATTTTTTTAAAACAAATGTACATCCAGTGGATCTAATAAATTTGCAGTGCTATGGCTTAACAAAAAAGATATTCCTTTGGATATTAATTTTGCTTGAAGCAATGGACTAGAAAATAAATTTGTCCGATGGATTTCCATTCAAAAGATCCATAGGATGTCCATATGTTTTGCAGAAAAATGTCTCTCCATGTTTTGCAGAAAAATATCTCTCCATTTTTCTAACAAAAATGGGCACCCCATATAATTTATATGCATCTACTAGATCTAGACAGAAGGATCGAGGCAATTTCGATTTAACCGCAGTTTCGCCCTTCGCCCGTATGTTGGCACTATTTTTCCCTGTTTAATCAGTAATATTTTCCATCAGAATTGAAAGAAATACAAACATTTTTTGTTGTGTTATTTAACATTTGGAAATCATCTTGATCAGTAAACATCAAAATTATTTTAAATAAAACAGGTAAATAACAAATTTTTCACGTTTCTTACAACTCGACTCTCTATTTTTATTTTCCACCTGCATGTGAGAAAAAACGCATGGAATATAAAACCCTTTTATCTAGTTTTCAAATATTTAAAAAATAATTTGGCAACACTGAGAAATTGTATGCCAATTTTCGCCCTTATGGCCTGCCTGGATACCGGTACTGGCGCCATGAATATTATTGGAGTGGGGAGCCACCCGTTCTCCTCCCTAAACTACTTGACCTACTTTTACTTTCTTTCTTTTCTACTTGTAACTTACTTGTGTGTTTATGCGTTTGCGAGGCACGAGCTAAAATAAATAAAATAATAATAATAATTTAAATTTTTCAATTATACCAACGATTATAACTGGACTAGCGCCTGTATTTTGTGTAGTTATTGACGTTATTGTGTTGTGGTAAGTATATTTGATATTTTTACCGTCTCTTTTGCGTCCCTCTGTATATTTTGTTATTTTTTGAAGTTTTTAGATCAAAAGCGTATTAGCTAAACACAAATTTTCTACAAAAATTCCATAGAGAAACAGACTAAAAAGAGAGTAGCGAATTAAACGAGAGAGATCGGCACCACTGTATCGCTGTAGCGCCTCCGTGAGCTACAGGATGAACTAAACTTGTGGGACGCATGGTGGGAAATTTAAATTGGTACTGAAGATTATTTGGTTTTAATGGAAATTTTTAGGGAAAAAAAACAATACCTAATTCTTTATCAAGCTAGTTTTATTGAGAAAAATATTAGCGGCATTTTTCAAGCAATAATGAAATAAATAATAACTCCTAAAATATAAATAATATACACAAACTCTGAATCCTTCAAGTAGTAATGAAATAAAACAATAACTCTTATAATACGAATAATATCAACAATAGTGATGAAATTAATAATGAATACCTCTTCAAATACAAAAAATATGTGATAGAAAACGAAAACATTGAACTAGCCTCAGTCTAAAAATACTAAAAATAAAACAAGTAATAAGTATAATGTAATTATTTATGCAATATAAAAAAATACAACACTGACCTGACACACATATGAGAGCTCTCGGAAGCCCTTTGTTTACATTTCTTATATTACAATTGTTGACCTGATAATTAATGGAAAAATAGAAAATTATTTTTTTAAATATTTTTCCTAGAAGTGAACTCAGGTTATGTTTATCTACGTAAACATCAGCATGCGTCAGTTATTATGGAAATATCTATCGTTCTTTTTCTTTCTTCTTCTTCTGTAGTGCTTTAATGTTGCTAGAATGAGACGGAAACGAGCACGTAGGTCGAATCCCGACGCGATAAATAAAGGGACAACTTTGCGACGTCTGCGTTGCGCTACAGGCATAAAGGAATGCGGTGCCGATCTCTCTCGTTTAATTCGCTACTCTCTTTTTAGTCTGTTTCTCTATGAAAAATTCCTTCAAATATCACTCATACTCATGCGGATTTTTATGTTTTTTTCTATGAGCATTTAAATAATAATATGTGAATAGGTACCTATATAACAGTCCTTTGAATTTAGCGTGCCTCAAGTTCTCCCACTGGTGCAGGATGCAGGCACGAATGAACAATCGAATAGTGAATAGTATCTAATAGTTTTTCAATAGCTTTCTGCTACCACAAAATAATAATTTCCATTTTGCCCTCTAGGGGACCCGTTTACTGTCAAATGATCGTTTGAACGTTTTTTTCTCTAAAAACAAGATGAGTGCTCCTAGGGCTCCTAGGGGCATCGGCAATAATCGGCATAATATAAATTATTTTTATGGCAGCAGAAAGCCCTCCAAAAACTATGACCAAGTACCAAGTGGAATCAAACTTCTAGGATTGAAATTTAAAAAAAGTTCATAGAAACATCGCAAATGCTTAGTTTTCGAGGTTCAGGGTGTCAAAGTTTTAAAAAATATATCTGTTATTTTTTAGCTCAAATATCCCTCTCCCGAATTTCTTTGAACTTGGTCAGGTTTGTTTGTCATAACAAAAGAAATCTTCTGACTCAAACACTCGAAAAAATAAATAAATAAATAAAATGGCACATCATTATTTTTTTACCTATGTATACCCCGAGCCTGTACCTTTGATATTTTTCTTCTAGATTTAGCAAGACATATTACAGTTAAAAGATACATACCTTTTGTTATATGTATCACAAACAAACATGCCAAGTTCTTTAAATAAAGATTGGGACCTTGTACTTCGAAAACTAAGCATTCCTGGACCCATGTTTTTATTAACTTTTTTCTTATTTTAATGAGGAGAACTATTTGTCCTAGAAGTTTGATCCCACTATTCAGAAACACCCTGTATAAAGTTTCGTTAATTTTCATCAATAATTAGGTTGGGCTGCACGTTTTGTACCTTGGTCAGCAAACTATGCATGACCATACCGCTGCTCCAGTAAAACAAAGACGTAACTGCAATTTTTCCATAAAATGAGTTTTCTCGTAAGCCAATATGGAATATTGCTATTAATCTGCTAAAACAACGCCGTGAATGTAGTTGCAATATTGGCCTCTAGATGGCAGTTACGTCCTTGTTACATAAAGCGGGATCGATAGTATCGCTCCGCGAGAACACCGACGCATTGATCAGTTGCTTCTTCGCTGTCAATGGGTGAGGACGTGTTTACAGTGAAACATCTTCGTAAGTGCTAGTTTGGACAATTGTTGTGATTGTTTCTTATCTATTTTCGGAAGAACAAAGAGGTAACTACACTTTATGTCTATGTTTTACTAAGTTTAGGTCCTTTGAAAAGTAATAACTGTAATAATTGATGTGTGATTCGGCAGAACATGCTCTTAATTGTATTTTACGTCTATATTATTCTGAAAATAATCATGACCTATGGACTTAAATGTACTTTACGCCTAAATTATTCTACAAATTTTTATAACCTCTAGACTTAATTGTACTTTACTTTCATATTATTCTAAAAATTCAACAATTTGTCAAGTGACTCATTTACATTAAGATACATCGAAAATTACAGCTTAGTTGAAAAATGTAAAATATTAAAAGATATTTTTCTGATTTATTTATTTTTTAAGTTTCTCTATCAAATACCTACATGTGGTTTTTTTTTGCAGAAAAATGAATTCTCGAACTTTTAAAATAATGGGTCTATTGAATACTCAAGCAGTAGTTAACAACATCGATGTCCCTGCAGTTCCTCATTCTCCTTCAAAAGAAAATATACCTCCCAACACATGCCCTGAAACCTCTGTAGAAACCCATAATGATGGACTAGCTGAAAATATCTTGAAAAATGAATCTATACCTCTTCAAACAAATGATTCGATTCCAGTGAACAATAATTCACGTCCAAAAGAAATTGGTCATGTGTACGTAGAATTTTATTCGAAGAGGGTTCTAATAATGAGAACGAATCTTTTAACGCTGAAGCTCAAACTCAGAGAGCTCAAACTGAAACCTCCAATTTTCCTTCCACAAGTCAGGCATTAAACGAACATTACGTGGTCGAAAAAGAAAGTGGCACAAAATTGACGCTAAGGAAAGTAAACCAGAGCTACAAGGAATACTGCGATCCTGAACAGGAACCTTTTTCTGGAGGATCAAGTGATGAGTATAACCCTGATAATGATAACGACGATAGTGATTCATCTTCTTCAAGTAGCAGAACATCAGAAAATATCGATATTACTACTAACAATGCTGATGATAATAAGGAACAAACTACGAACTCCCCAGTCAAAAAAGGTAAAAAAAGGGTTAAGAATCAGATGAATTGGAAGCAAGTGAAAGCAAAACGATTCAGAAACTCAGGTCAACAATACACTTCAAGAACTGGTAAAATTGTCGAAGCCAAGAGCATGAAACCAGCTTGCTCCAATAAATGTATTTTTTCTTGTTCGACAAAGTTTTCTGAGGAACTTAGAAGCCAACTATTTAAGAAATACTGGGACTTAGGAAACTTGCAACGCCAGCGAGATTACCTGGGCTCATGTATCGAACAATTAATTCTCAAATATAGACGAGTTTCTTCTGCACAGCCGCGAAAACCAAACTGTGCATTCTACCTTCACGAAAATGGAAATAAAATCAGAGTATGTAAGACGTTTTTGATCAACACCTTCGGGATATCGGAAAAAGTAATTAGAACTGTGATTCAATCAAAAGTATCTGAACAGGGAATTATAAAAGAAGATTGCAGAGGAAAGCACGGAAACCATAAGAGAATTGATGAAGAGGTAGTGAATTCTGTATTCGATCACATCAATTCCATACCACGAATTGAGAGCCACTACACTCGCAAGGATACAAAAAGAGAGTACATAGACGGCGGACTTACAATTGCAGAAATGCACAGAAATTATTGTGAGAGAAGATCTGCTTCAAATCAACAATCAGTGACATACGATTATTACGCAACGATCTTTAACACAAAATTCAATATCGGATTCTTCATACCGAAAAAAGATCAATGTGATCTTTGTGAAACCTATAAGAATGCACTAGACAAAGAGGAAATAGAATTGAAACATAAGTATGAAGAACACCTAGAAGAAAAGGAACTTAGTCGAAAGGAGAAGGAGAGTGACAAAGGAAGGGCACAAGATGGAGAAATTGCTTTAGCTGTTTATGATTTACAGGCAGTGTTGCCTGTTCCTGTAGGACAATCATCGGCATTCTTCTATAAATCCAGATTAAATTGCTATAATTTTTCTATAAGCTATAAATTTCCAAAGGCGATTCCCGATTATTTGTAGGTACATCATCATGGTTTTTTTTTTCAGATAACAGAATTAGCAACAGATACAACTGTAACGGAGTTACCAGATTTTTCCCGAAAATGTGTGCGCCTTTTGACTACAATTTAATTAATTAATTGACTTTAATTGAACTATTTGCTCTAGGTAATTTTCGGTCAATTCAACGGTAATGATTTTAGCTGATTATCGTAATTTTAATTATTTGTGTAACTAAAGCTACACAACTTTTCTTTAATTTTAAAAAGAAGCAGGGCTTTCTTGAATTTTTCCGAAATATTATTTATTTCTAAATATATTAAATTACGCGTGACCTCGGAGCAAATAGCAGTTTAGCTGGGTCGCACGCTCGAGGCTGCATCGGTGGCTTTGGAGCTATGGTAGCCGAAGCGCGCACCGTGGTATTTTCTCCCACGAAGCTTGCCCTTCCATCAGTTCCATCGTCGAGCGTTTTCCTTACAAACGAACGGCGTTTGGTTAAGTCAGTCCGGCCCGAGTCCACCAACTAAGCAGACGCTTCCGACTTCCACCGAATACCGAGGTAGGCCTTCTCTCCGAAATACCGACTGCTACCTGTTTCACCGCTACGCGAGTAAGTTATTTTTCACTAATACTTGGTTGGTAAATTATATTTTTGTTTTTTATTGTCACGGTCTACTTGGACGGACAGAGTTTAAGATTCTATAGACTATCACGGTTTATTTGTACGGGTAGTTTTCGCTAAGATATTTATTTTTACAAAGTAAAGTTCTATAAATTGTCACGGTTTATGTGCACGGACAGTTTTCTCTAAAAAACAATTATTTTTACAAAGTAAAGTTCTATAAATTGTCACGGTTTATGTGCACGGACAGTTTTCTTTAAGATATTTATTTTTACAAAATAAAGTTCTATAAATTGTCATGGTCAATGTGTACGGACAGTTTTCTCTAAGACTTTTATTTCCACAAAGTTTAAAGTTCTATAAACTGTCACGGTCCATGTGTACGGATGGTTTTCTCCTAGATAATGGCTGAGTTCGTTTTCGTCCTCGCGGAGCCGACGAGATGAGACGGATTTTTAAGTCACGTGACTAACGAGTCGTCTGACTGCTGGGTAATTTTCGAACGGTTCGAAGATATTTGGGAGATTTGTGACATAACCCTATTTATTTAATGACACTAATGACAGTGTTTTTATTGATATTTTTCTCATTACTTTTAAATTTTTACTACTTTTCAGTAAAAGTAAAATGGAAATTACAAATTTTTTTCCAGTTTTGATGCACTTTGCAAATGAAATATTATTTGAAGATGAAGAAGAAGAAGAAGAACGCTTAAGAGAACCAAAAATTGTTAATTTTGTTGAAGATGTTATTCACTGCTTTGAGGACAAACAATTTAAGAGACATTTTCGAATGGACCCTTCAACAATGGAACACTTACTACAGAGAATTCAAAATGTTATACCAGAGGTCCCTGTCGCTAAAGGTCATCCTCAGCTTACAATAGAAAAACAGCTTTTAATAACAGTTTGGTATTTAGCAAACATTGAATGTTTCCGGTGAGTAATATGATAATAGGGTGTACCAATGGGGTATTAGCTACAAAAATTAGAAACTAAGATATTTGTGAGCTGTTTCTTATGTTCTTTATTTTACTTTTTAGCTCAGTAGCGCAAAGATTTCATGTAACAAAATCAACAGCATGGACAGTGTTGATGAGAATGGGCAAATGGATTTTATTAGCAAACACAAAGTTTAAAATAATTTCTTGGCCTACCAGGGAAAGAGCGTTAGAAATATCTAACAGGTTTCGGAATATCAATGGATTTCCTGGTAAGTAAATTTCTGCTTGAAGTTTGAGCTCTGATTAATAATAAATGAATTCCAAATTCGATTGTAAAGGGTACAGTAGCACCAGATAGAACAGAAATGAAAAATTAATTAATTATGTAAATGTATGAACACTGAAAAATAAAACAAGGTTGCTGGACTCGGCTGGGATTTGAGATCACAACTTGCAATACCAATTACTTAAGCCAAAAAAGTATACTGGCAATATGCTTCAGTTCTATATTTAGAGTTAACTACATAAAGTCTGTCGATTTTAATCTGATACTCCAAATAGTGGGCTCACCATACAGGTGTTTTTCCTCCCCTTCACCGCATATGCAAAGTATCACATTAAAATCGACAGACTTTACCCACCTAAGGGCCAAATTATGGATCTGCTGGTAAAGTTGCTGGTTGCTACCTAGCACCTAAATGTTAAGCCCACGGGTAACTTTGAAGGAAATTATTATTAAATTTCTCACCTGATGTTACTTAATCAAGCACTTTACAATTTGGCACATCTCTGGCAAGCTTAAACAAAAGCTTATAACCAAATTTTTACGTTTAGCAGCAGGATAACTTTGGCAGGAACCTTACCAGCAGATCCATAATTTGGACCTTAATGGCCTAATTGGTGAAACATGTGCCTAGCACTCGGCCTAGCAAACAAATGTGAGTTCAAATCTTACCAGACTTTGGGAACTTTTTTCTAATTTTCTGTGTAGGTTTAATAATATATACTTCTAACTATTGAGTCGTTCCTAAACAACTTATAGGTATTGTAGCTGTTTCATTTTGTTATAGGAGTTATCGGTTGCATTGATGGCTCACACGTGAAAATATTGGCACCCAAAGAAAATCCTGTTTCTTATATAAATCGAAAAAAATTCCATTCTATCTTACTTCAGGCAGGCTGTGATGACAAAAAACAGTTTATAGATGTATTTACTGGAACACCCGGCTCTTGTCATGATGCAAGATTATTTCAGATGTCCGATCTATCAGAGCATATTCGAACAGGAATTGTGCAATTTCCCAACGACACACATATTATAGGTGACCTAGCATATACCTTGACAAAAACACTGATTGTTGAATTTAAAGACCATGGTAATTTAAATGATCGTCAAAAAAAATTTAACAGAAAATTGTCACAGATAAGGGTTGCAATTGAGCAAGCTTTTGCTCTTTTAAAAGGCAGGTTTCGGCGCCTTAAATATTTAGAAACCATAAGAATGGACCTAATATGCTTATTAATTATTGTGGCTTGTGTATTACACAATGTGTGCATTTTAAATAATGACAATGCAGAAGACATATTGGATCTGGCACAAGAAATAAAAGAAGAGAGAATGTTGCAAGAAATACAGAATGTCAATGTACAAAATGCTGATGCAATAAGGAGAGAAGCTCTTCAAAAAAGAATTAATATTATGAACAATTTAATATAAAAATTTAAAGCATATTTTTAGTTCATTTTTATACACCACTAATCTTTCTGTAGATTATAAATAGTTAATTTAATTGCTTAATAAATAAAATAGTAATGTAGCTTCTACTTCTATTCATTTATTTACAGAAGAAAACAGAGCATTATAATAATAACTACAGTTTACAATAATAATTGTACTTAGGGCCAAATTCTGTACCAGCTGGTAACGTCTCTGGGCCTCTGGCAAATTTAGCCTGCTGGCAAACTAAAAATTTAATGCGTTTTTAGCCTCACCAGCAAGATATTATCTAAAGTTGCCAATAACGTTACCAGTCGGTCTATAATTTGACCCTTATTCAACTAAGGGTCGGTTTATTCACCTTCTGATAAACTGTCAGCAAATATGAAATCTGCCATATACAGTGTGACCCATTTTTGAGGGGGCCACCCTCTGAAATCTTTATTTATTGCGCGATTTCAATAATTTTTTTTTTAAATTGTAGAGCTTGGCAAACTTCATTTTTGAAGAAGAGAGCTCCACATTCCTACAAAGACTATGGCCTCCACCTCAGATTTTATGCGTGAAATTTTGAGAATTCATATTAGCGATTTTTTTAGAAAAAATCTGTGCACGCCACTGTTTTCGCCATCCCCAAAAACCCCCTAATCCATATTTTCAAGCGAAAAATTAAAAATTTTAATGCACTTTTCTCGACTTTTTCTAATAAATTCTTGATTTTCGACCAATATTTTTTGAAAAAAAATGGTAAAATATTATTTTTTTTTGCTTAAAAATATGGATTAAGGGGTTTTTGGGGATGGCGAAAACAGTGGAGTGCATAGATTTTTTCTAAAAAACTCGCTAATATGAATTCTCAAAATTTCACGCATAAAAACTGAGGTAGAGGCAATAGTCTTTGTAAGAATGTGGAGCTTTCTTCTTGAAAAATGAAGTTTACCAAGCTCTACAATTTAAAAAAAAAATACTGAAATCACGCAATAAATAAGGATTTCACAGGGTGGCCCCCTCAAAAATGGGTCACTCTGGATGGTCGCAGAAATGCTGGACAGGTCGAAACTTGATTTTTTCGAATTTTATCAGAAATCCGAAAATGTGAAAAAAATTGTGTCTATTTAAAAAAATTAAGTTACTACCTTCCAGCTTTTCTGGGACCACCCTATATAATAATTTTATTTGCCGAAAAATGCTTGACAAAAAATAAAATTGAGGGGTGTGAGGATTAAAAAAAAAATTGCTTAGAAGAATAATTATTGAATTTATTCCCTACCAACTTTATGGCCGCACTGTATTTTGAGCAGACTACTTATTTTTCAACGTACTAATCATATCCTCAAATAAATCGAGAAATCTGTCTTGACGTTGCAATTTTTCTCGGTGTCGCTTGTCTGCAGCATTTTCATATCTGCGTACTCGTTTTGTGCCACTTGTCTTGGGGGTTTCCTCAACATTTGGGGTTCCATTTTCTTCGTCATGATCTAAAAACCCAGAATAAAATTATAATAATTTGATAAAAAAAATAATTTGAGATGAAGTCTACCTGCTAATGATGCAGAGCTTGAAGCCCCACAGCTATTATTATTAATTTGCAGACCTTTCGAGCTGCTGCATGTCACGGGTGGTATTATTTCGAGTTTCTTACACAATAATTCATCCATTTCATCAAAATAAATCCAAATCCTGGGCTCGTTTCCCGACTTGTCGTTGTGCTGCTTGACACTTTTATACAAGTCTTTAAGACCTTTCCATTCAGTATCACATTGTTGTGCACTCATAGTCACTTTCGTCTGATTAGAAATCTCATTAGCAATTATTTGCCAAACCTGTTTTTCAATTTTACTTTGAAAATCATCATCATATTTTTTTACTAATGCTATTAAAGCTTTTGTTGCACCAAGTGTCCATATCTTCAGTTGTTCTACTCGTTCTGCTTGTGGAGTGTTAACAACTTCTGGAGTGTTAACAACTTGTACTGTGTTAACAACTTGTGCAGTGTTAACAACTCGGTTAATAGCAGAGGTTACGAGATTTTTTTCATAGAGTGTAAAATATTTGTTTGTAAGCTGTTCATAAAAATCAGGGTCTAAAATTAATAATAATAATAATACTTTATACATTAAGATCTGATCTACTATTATTAACAATAGTATATTATACCTAGGGACTAAAGTGGTACCTACTTTTAATCCTGAGACAAAAAGTTTATAGCCCGACTGAAGGGATGGCTATAATTTCTCAACAGATTGAAAAACACTTTAGTCCCGAGGTGTATACACTATTTTATGTACTTTAGAGGGATTACAAGTAGACTTTCAATCCCTAGGGTTTACATAATTCCCAGGAAATAAAGTGAAATTTGAGTTGATTAAAAGACCCACTTTAACTCCCTCAAAACAGGGATTATAAGGGTACTTTTATTCCTTTAAAACTGGGATTGAAAGGGTACTTTAATCTTTTAATCCCTAAGGGCCAAATTATGGGCCGACTGGTAAGGTCTCTGGCAAACTTCACCTGCTGGTTGATGTGATAAAACTTATGATATTTGGTAGCTACCAGCAATCAGCACCGTTCCTAGTTGGTCCATAATAGGGCCCCGAGTAGGGCCCTAAAGTGCATAAAAATTATAAAAATAGTTATTCAAAATCGTACTTACCTGAGTTTGCCTTGGTTATTTCATACTGAGTTAAAAAAAACTCTGAATGTGCGTTCGGACGCAGCGTGAAAGAGCTCTACAAGTTGCCTTTTGTCATTATCCATTTTAATTAATCCTATTATACAACAATAATTATTAATTACAACATACATCGATTGTACTTTTCTACCTTTCTATTTTTTTCAGCAAAAAAAAATAAACAAAACAGAACGCCCATAAAATGTGGTTATGTTTACTGATCACCTCTAAATGCTCGACCAAAAACCTCGGACGAAAGCGAGGACGCTCCAAAACATCCGGACGACTAAAACGAACGCGAAAATATTTCCCTCCGACTAATCCCAAACAATAAACGAACGGTTAAAAAGGAATCCGAGACGTCCGACGACTAAAACGAACTCAACCAATATTTATACTGTCACGGTCCATGTGTACGGACAGGGATTTATTTTCACCGCCGTTGCGAATAATTTTAACCGATTTAAGGTAACCGTATTGACCAACCAAGTAAATTCATGTCTGTATCCGAAACGTCTTACATAAAGTGTGAAACGGGTACATCAGTATTCAAACCAGTTAAAACCGTTAAGATCTAACCGCTTTTGTATTGCATGACCGCTTCTTATTTTCTGTTGCTCACCGTTTGCTTGACCGCTTCTTATTTTCTGTTGCTCACCGCTTGCTTATAAACCGCCCGTTATCATTAATCTACACGCACGCACACATACACATTTTCACTCTCTCCATTGCACGCCCGCTTCATTCACTCTATTCACTCTGCTTAGGGAATGTTTAATTTTACCATAAGAATGGCCTTATAGACATAACTTTATAGCAATAAATACCAGAACTTAATCGTGATTTCATGTATCTTCTTTTGGAGTTTTCTGGAGGATTTACAGGAAGTATAGAAGGAATAACTTCCAGCATTTGATTCGACCCCTGATCTCCACTGTAACAAGCTACCTGGTGCACGTGGGCCCTCAACCACAATAATCCTGAGGGTGGCGCCCGAGATAACCGTTAATGCAAGAAAAGGAAAAACCGAACGGGCGCTACACAACAAAAGCATTCTTTTGGCATGAAGTTTTTGGAAACAGAGGAGCAATAGAAATAGGAACCTGCGTTTTATTGTATTTGGAAGAACTATCAAAAAGCCACCCAGGATCGGATGTAGTTTTTTTTTTTTCAGATAACTGTATGGGTCAACAAAAAAATAGGTATGACAAGACAATGAGAAATTACCAAACCTGTTCATTATAACTGACATTTTTGCAGATTTCTCATTGCAGCGTATATCTACGCAGTAGAGAAATTTCAAATTGGTTCAATAACACACAAATTTTTAATAGGTGGGCACACTCAGAATGAAGCTGATGCAATCCGTAGCGTCATCGAGAGAAAAATTTTGTTGGCCAAGAAATCTGGACCCATTTATACTCCCGAACAGTATGTTTCTATTATTCGTGAGGCCAAGAAAAAGGGAAAGAAAATTGAAGTTAAAGAAATGAGTTTTGAAAGTTTTTTTGACATCAAGTCATTATCCGATGATATGGGTCTCAACATTAATAAAAATACTGACGGAGATGAATTTAAAATTAATGTTGTTAAAATCTTACAATTTAAAAAAGGAGAAGAAGAATTTTGTTACAAAACGAGCTACAAACAAAAAGAATGGTATCGACTGAACTTTAGACAAAGAAAAAGATCCAAAAAAGACCTCATTAACAAAAACGTTATTATCAAAAAAGCCTACTGCAATCCATTCCAGTTATCTGATAATAAAAAAAGAGATTTACTGAGTTTACTGAATACTAACCTTATTCCAGCATTCTATAAACCCTATTTCGAAAGTATTTTACAGTAATTAAGAGCAACCAGTTATTTTTTTTCGCACTTATGTTGCGATAGTGAATAATATTAGATTAGGTATCCTTTCGTTTGATAATAATCAAGATCTCAGCGTTTAGATTTATTTATTTAGAGCACCTCTTCAGTTTGCATTTACCAAAGATTAATAAAAAAAAGACTGAAAATGTACCTGATTTGAAGTTTTATTTTAATAAAACAAAGGCGTAACTTCAAATTTCACTTTTAATTCAAATATGACAAAAACCAAAATAACGTCATACTATACTACGCATTTTATATAGTTTTATGTCATATTGAGGAGAAGCGGTGAAATACGCTGTTAAAAATACACCAGTTCAAAAAACATAATATTCGTTTTTTGCGTTTCCTGTAAAATTTACTGATTTGCAGTTACGTCGATATTCTACTGGGGCAGCGAACTTACCTATTTATTATTTGGATGCTCGACTAGCTCGATGCGCTTACAAAAAAACAAACCAAACCAACCTGATTTTCTTTTTTCAATAATCCATTTTTTTTTTTTTGATATTCAATATGAAATAATGTCTTATTGTTAGAAAGAAAAAATATGACAAAATACGTGTTAATTACCCTTTCTCATTTTCTTTTCAGATTCTCTTTTTTTTTGTTAAAAGTTGATACTTAGTACTGTTTTTCCAGAATTTTTTTATTCTATAAAATTAAATAGTTTTTATATATTATTTTTGTAGGCATTTTCATATTATATGTATGTGTTGATTTGTAAAGTAGGTACCTTTCAATTTTTTTTTTAGCAAAATCAACAAATTTGAAACTTTGAATCGAAAAATTTTGATGAAAATTGGAAAAAATAAATAAAAGCTTGTTAGATTTAAAAAAGCGATTGAAAAAATAACACTCTTGACAGCACTGATTGGGTTTACCTACCTGCACCTAATTACTATTACAATAAAGCAATTATGCCAAAAATCAGTAAAAAAATTTATCTAATTGCCAAAACCGGAACTAACCGTCCACTATCCATAATATCTTTAAAGCCTAAAATAACTATTCAAGATTCAGAAGTACAAAATTGTGAATCAAGTAGTAGTAGTCAAAATCAGAGTTATATTAATTCGGCTGAAAGCAATTCACTTTCGTCTGAGCTTTCGTCTTTGGCAACAAATTCATTCCGCGGTCATTTTGCTACAATTTCTGAAGGTTCTATTTCTGATGGTTCTATTTCTGATTTGGACTCCTTTCATTATTCATCTGGATCTGAGGATGATCACTTAGACAGTACTGCTAATACTTCTACTGCATTCGAGTCTGCATCTTGTTCTAGTCACAATGATGAGGTACCTGACGTTTCTCTTTCACAATCATTGGCAAAGTGGGCTTTTGATAATAGAATTACACACACAGCTATAAATCAGCTTCTTAATATTTTAAAATCCCCTCATGACGATCCTAAGCTTCTTCCTGGAGATGCTCGAACATTGCTCAATACACCCAAAAGTATAATTACCAAGCATGTTCTGCCTGAATATTATTACCACTTTGGTTTGAAAAAATGCATCTTAAATCTTCTGATACAACATCCTTCTGTTCGTAATATTGATACAATCGAACTTTTCATTAACATAGATGGATTACCTCTCGCCAAAAGCTCGCAGAGTCAAGTATATCCAATACTCTTTTGTCTAGTGGATAATCAAACCTGTGTAGATATGATTGGAATATATCATGGTTATGAGAAGCCAAAATCGGCAAATAATTTTTTAGAAGATTTTGTGAAGGAGGTAATACAAATATATACTGAGAGAATTGAGTTTAAAAACAAAATATATCCGATTAAAATTGAAAGTTTCATTTGTGATGTTCCTGCAAAATGTTTCGTTACCCATACAAAAGGCCATTCTGGTTACTACTCCTGTTGAAAATGTGATATCGAGGGTATATTTTCAACTGGTAGAGTTTGTTTTCCTGACATGACTTTCAATTTAAGAACAGATGAGACTTTTAGACTAAAAATTCAAGAAGAACATCATACTGGTACATCCATTCTAGAACAAATACCAAATATTGATATGATATCTGATTTTGTTTTGGATCCTATGCATCTTCTATATCTTGGAATAGTTAAAAAATTAATTGTATCATTATGGCTACATGGCAAACCTCCCACCAAATTATCAGCTAATCAAATACAAAAGGTATCAGAAAAATTAGTTTCATTGAAAAATTCAATGCCTTGTGAATTTAATCGAAAACCCAGATCATTGTTAGAGAGCACGCGATGGAAGGCAACAGAGTTTCGGCAGTTTGTCTTCTATACTGGTCCTGTTGTTCTTAAATCAACGCTAAATGCTGATATGTATTTAAATTTTCTTTCACTTCATGTTTCACTGACAGTTTTATCAAATTCCACATTTCATGACAATTTTTTGACCTATGCAAATTCATTATTGACCTACTTTGTGCGCACTTTTATTCTTCTCTATGGAAGAGAAAATGTTTCTCATAACATTCATAATTTGCTACACCTTTCCTCTGATTCTGAACGTTTCGGTCTTTTGGAGAATTATAGTGCATTTCCTTTTGAGAATTATATGCAACAAATTCTTGAATTTATCCGAAAAAATGAGAAACCATTAGAGCAAATAGTTTTTAGAAAAACTGAATTAGATAGCCTTAATAAGGAAAAATCAAATAAAAAATCATATCCAATTATTTCTAAACAATATTTTGGTGGCTGTACCTTGAATTTATTGGATACTAATCAATTTGAAACCCTTAGATTTAATAATTTTGTTCTTAAAATATTTAATTCGGACAACTGTTGTTCTTTAAAAGATGGAAGTGTCATATTGATTCACAATTTTGTCACAGCTCGCGAAGGACATTTCATAGTTGGGGTGAAATTCAATAGATTAACGGATTTATATGATGAACCATGCCTATCTTCAAAGTTTTCTATTTACTCAGTCAGAGACAATGATGTTGGACCTTTCGAAAAGTGGAGTATTAAAACGATTGAGCGTAAATGTATTAAACTACCTTATAAAGAGAACTGTTCTGCAATTTTCCATTACTTCATTGCGAAAAATAATATTTCCTATTAAATTTACCCTATGATGTCAATCTTCAGCTGTTAATACAAAAATAGTTGTACATCTGTATAGAATTTTTTGTAGAATCTAAAAATGTTATATTGTTTTCTCTACGTTGCTATGCTTTTTCCAATTCATAAGAGATAATACTTTAAAAAACCGCAAGTTAGAAATTCTTATTAAATTTGTGTCATATTAATGCCCCAACGATTATAGGTACGGTACAACCGTTTTAGATTTTCAAGTGTGTTTTGCCAATTATTTAATTGTTTTTAATAACTTTGAAATGTTCTTTTTCACCCAAATAAGTAAAATATCTATCAAAAACATATTTGGTAAACAATTTTTGCTTTACATGTATGTGAAAGGTCCAGGAGGGATTTCCAAAACACATTTTTTTTTGTATTTAAAGACATCATTGACCATAATTAAAGATTTGAACACCCTGTAAATTATTAATTAAGAATTATTGTTAAATATTTGAATAGTAAATATGGCCACAAGCCAAACTTGGACTGTCGTGGAATTCCTAGAGAGCCACACAGTGGAAGTCATACCGTCATCTTGGATATACCAAAATAGTTGCTATTGGCCACCATTGGCAAGGGACAAGTTGGCAACCGAAATTAGAAAGGACGATTAGCCGAACACTTGCTGGCCTTTATATAAGGTGCGCATTTTTAAGGATGCTATATATGGTAAGTTATTTTTTTATATTTATGTATTTCTAAAATTAATTTCTTGGTTATGTCAGTATTATAATAGTTCATTATTATTATTATACTTATTTTTTAAAATTATCTACTAAATGTTATGCACAATCAGTCATAAGAGGTTAGTATAGGAACCTCTTTTTTTTATTGATTTATCTTGCTTTATTTCTAGCAGTTTTTCCAAAGTCATAATTGGAACAAGGTGAACATAATTCATAACTGGTGACTGACTAGTGGCAGTGCATTTCTTATGGAAATTTTCAGTGACCAGTCAGCCACCAGTTGGTACCTTGTTCCAATTGAGTTTGGAAATTCTATACTCAGTCTGCCAAAAATTTGCATCCTATGCAAAGTTTTCTGTAAGCATTATGTTTTTTGCGAATAATCAAGTATTTCATTAAGTATTAGGCATTAACTAGAGACACTGGACCAAAAAATTCAACTTTCAGACACTTACGAACTGGCCAGAAAAAAAGCCCGTCTAGCAGAAGATACCTCCGATCTCAATTCAGAAGTTGATGTAAGAAGTCAAAAAAAAAAACTTTTTCCTCATTCTCTTCGGATTCCGAGATTGAAAATGGTAATAATAAACTTGCAAAGGTGGATGTACCGAGTTTGCCAAAATCAGATCATAAAAAGATGGCAAAGGTGGATTTACCGAGTTTACCCAAATCAAATCATAAAGAGATGTAAGTACCTAAATTATCGAAACTGTTCTAACCTAAAAAAAATTCATACTTGATGTTATAGCTAAAACACTAAAAGATAGTTTCCATATTGTTTGGCTGCGAAAATTTTGCAGGGAGGAATTTTTAAATGGAACAAATTCAGTATCAGAAAGCCTGTTTATTTTCTGGAAAAATAGAAAAAAGGGTCCCTTCATTTTTACGATTTTTTTGGCCTTTTCATCAAGGGTAAAAGCCACCCCCAACTTTTTTTTTCAAATGTAACGATATGTATTGTGATAGCTCGTTGAAATGGGCATAAAAAAAAAGGAAAATGACCCATTATTCACTTTTGCATTTGATGATCTAGAAAGCGAGAAAAAAATAAAAACATGTTTCCACACAATTTTTTTTACGGTTAAAATTATTAAATATCTTCAGCATTTTTTCTTGGTAGAACCCTGATGAGAAACAAGCCCCATTTGTAACGTTATGTAATTATTTCAGACGTTAACACACTATTTAATGCCTGATACTCGGATTCTTAACCCTAAAATAGTGTGTTAACGTCGATAGTATATTACATACCGAGGTGGGAAGTGTTTCATTTCTGTCGAGAGATTGGTTAGTAAACTGAGACGCGAAGCGTCGAAGTTAACTATAATCTCGAGACAGGAATGAAGCTTCCTACTGAGGTTTGTATACTATTTTATTTACAACAATGGGCTCTTTCACTAAAATTTAAATACGTAATTTAAGTATAAAATCCCAAAGGAGGGGCTATTTTAGGCATATATACCAAAAAAAAAAATGTTCTACAAGGTTAAATAAGTTTTTTACAGGCATTTGAAATTGGCGAAATTCAAATTGATTTAAACCGCGCCGATTTGCTGACGTCAAATAAATATTTTTCATTTCGCTTGTTGTTGGAAGGAGCTCGACTGTGTTACCCTGTAGTAAAAGCAGGTGAAGGTTCGAATGCGCTGTTGTCGGTGGTGACTAAATGTAGTGCAACGTAAAAAAAAAAATAAACTGAACTTAAAAAATTGTATTAAATTGTGTTTAAGCATAATTTCAATAAAAAAGTTAAAAAATCTTGAATCCATAACTAATTAATTGAACTACTTTTCATGATATTTTTCCAACATTTCAGAATTAAATCTATTACAAATTTTCAATGTTGACAATTAGTGGCAACACGGTCAAATTGCGAGTTGCGACGTCATAGAAATAAATTCTGGGTTTTTATTTGGAGGTATTTCTTTTTTTTTTTCTGTTTTCTCAAGAAGGACTATGAATTTATCAAAAGTAAAAATACAGAAAATTCTATTTTTAGTTGCTCTGTCCAAATAAACAACCATCATAATTTTTGACTAAATGCTAAATAAAAATTAAAACATTTTGTTGTTGACAAGTCCTGACTTATCTAAAAAAAGTTTGACATGCAGGACTTGTGTTTCACATTTTAGGAAATGATGGCTTACTTTCCACCCGGATGGAAAGTGAGCACTTTCCACCCGGGACCACTTTCCACCCGGGAAGAAAGTAAAATTCAAAAAAATGTCACTTTCAAACTTTTGAAAAGTCAGTAATGTTAACATTACGTATGTGGTTGTAAATAATAGTATATTACATACCGAGGTGGAAAGTGTTTCATTACTGTCGAGAGCAGCCGAGGTCTAACTGAAATCTCGAGAGAGTAATGAAAATTTTCACCGAGGTATGTATACTATTTTATTTACAATCATTCGAATTTTGAAATTTTCATTTTAAAACTAAAAAATACAATAATTAACAATTTCATTTACTTTCGGCCCACGGGTCGAAAGTAAATTTTCGACCCGTGGGCTGAAAGTAAAAGTCAAAAAAGTGACATTTTCGAACTTTTTAAAAGTCAGTAAAGTCAACATTACATGTATGATTGTAAATAAAAATAATTACATAACTACATAGATCAGCAAAATGCAAAAGTAAATATTTCCTTTTTTTATACCTATTTCAACGAGGTATCACAATACATATCTTTATATTGGAAAAAGAAAAGTCGGATGTGGATTCTTTTACTCTTTAGAACGGGATAAGTTCCATGAAAAGGCCAAAAAATGTTCCAAACTAAAAATAAAGGAACCCGTTTCTTTTATTCTTTTATAGAAAATAAACAGGCTTTCTGATATTGAATTTATTCCATTTAAAAATTCCACCCTGTATAAGTACCTACATAATCTTATATTTCCAGTTCTAGTAATTTGGATGAAATTTTTCATCTGAACAACCCTCGTCAGGAGAGTCAAACAAATCAGGCGGACTCTCCAGAAGTAAATAGATGTAAATGTTCTGAACACAAAAAAAAAAATGGTTCGTTTTCATAATAAAAATGTTGGCTTTATAATTCTGGCTAACTAATAAGTATCATTTTTAGAGAAGCTATGGGGGCCCATTTAAAAAAAAA